AATTCTCTTTATTTAATATTAATAATAAATTTATTATAAACTATAATCAAACTTTAATTTTTTTGTAATCTCTTTCTTTCTTTCTCTTTTCTTTTATACTAAATTATATTAATTTATTTAGTAACATAAACTTAATTTGGTATAACTTGCTGGTTTAAGGATGCTGCACTGTTGTTAATTTTTCTTCCAGTGAGAAATTTTTGGCCTTCCAGTGGTGTGAACGTTCCAGTGACACTATTACTTCCAGCGAATTAGGTGGGTCATTTGGAGTCATTTGGCCGTCTTCAGTCAAAACGTGCCTTAGTGAGGTCCGACAAATTGTTACACGAAACAATGAAAACTCAAGTCATGCCTATTGTATCAATATAAAAAAGTGACGACACCCATTTTATAATTAGGTATGATCTGAGTTTTATCGTTTCGAGTAACCATTTGTCGGACCCCACTAAGGCACGCTTTGACTGAAGACGGCCCATTTGGTCATTTAGAATCAAATGACCGGTCATTTCCCAACACTACAGTATACTGTCTCTACCAGTAATTTATTTAAAGTAAATAATATATTATAACAAGTTAGTGAACTTAAATTTAAGCAATAGATAAAATAATAATTTACTATATATAAATTTCATAATAAATCGGTTTTCATAACCCTTAGGAAAAAATTTCAAGTATATTTACTACGTATCCGGGTGAGTTTTAAAAAAAATAGTTATTTAAATTGTTGGTTTTCTTTTGGAGACACTCATATATAAAATTTTTTGAAAATAAAATTAAAAGCCGCGTTGCCGGGTAGCTTTAAAAATTTTATGTTATGAAAACCGATTTATTAAGTTTGTATGGCCTTATATAAATTTTATAAATTTGCTATAAGAAAAAAATATATATTAAATTACACATAAAAAGCGAGATCCGTTGCTGCACCAGTTAAAATGTTTATCACCTGTACAGGCCAACCAATGATCCAGTTTGAACTTTACAAAAAAAATTTACAAAAGCTACATAGCCTCGAGTTAGTAACAACAAATGTCTGCTACCAGAATCATAAATCAGTTGCTTAGTGATTTATCTGAGTATTCATGAATGCGTAGCAAATTTATATATAACAGATAAATCTATTATACAGTATCCAGTGTCGGTATACGTAGTATAAACCAAATTTTTTTATACGTATTTTATGTATAGATATCAGATATATATATATATGTATACGTATATAGATTAAAATGTTAGGTATTCGATAGATAAAATCTTAACGTAAAAAGTTGTAATAACGTGAAGGTGGGAAGGCGCTATGCAAGGTTGACAGAAGTTAATAGCGATAGCGTAACTGGAACCGGATATGTAATTATAAAAACGATTTTTGAATTTACATAACGATAATACCGTTACAGATGTTCGCATTGTCGATGGTTAATAAAGTTTCGCTTGCTTATATTTTGGATATGCAATGCATATCGATATTAATAGAAAGGCTTTTAATGATAAAGTTTTACATCACATAATACTTTTAGAATATATATCACTATGGCTTAGTAGTTTTTTTGTCACCTTCACGAAATATCACTAGATAATTCTAAAACACGTGTTCTTGGTGCTACGTACAACAATATATAAATATAAAAAGTTGTGAATCGTAAAAAAATTCCCCGCACAAAGTGGTTTACATTTTAAAATTAGAACTTGCTTTCAAATCAAAGCTTATAAGCAAACACGACGCAAATTTTTTTTCTCGGGTAAGACGTGATTTTCTTGATACAAGTTGTGAGTAAAAACCTGAAATTTGAGCTTAATATCTAAGAATAATTTGTCAGAATACATGCCTACCACCAACAGTAACATCGTTAAAACGATCAGCAATCCCAATCGGTTTAGTTCACAACCAGGTGGCGGTTTGATGAATATGTCAGGTATGCTTTTGAATATTTGCGTTTATATACGAAATTAAACCTATTTTTCTGATAAAGTATTAAAACCTAGCAGTCGTAAATCCAGCTCAACAAGTCAACAGGCTCGGAACAATAAATTCTGTATATCCGCCAACATCGATGCCTCAAAGAACTGCCGGTGCAAATCCTTTAATCGCGAGGAATGGTGGGAGGATTGGTACTTGATAGATTTAATTGATGATTATTCATTTTAAAGATCAATGACTTTTTTTTTTTTTTTGGGTTTTAAAAAAAAAAATTGAGTTTAAAAGATTTTTTTTTTTGGATATCCTTTTATTCCCAGGAATGGGGGCGCGTGGGGGTGTTAGCTCGGTTGCCTTTTTTTTTTTTTTTTGATTTTAAAATAATAGTTACTAACTAATGATTTTTTTTTTCTGAATATCATATAATACCATCAAATGCAGCATCTTGGAATTATACACCAGGTTCCTCTTTAGTGTCTCAGAGTATTCCATCACGACAAAACTTTCCATCGTATCCCAACTCGATACATAGCGTGCATCCCACACAAACTGACTTACTGGATATGTCTGAATTTCCGGCTTTAGGCAGTACTAATGCAGCTTCGAATAATGCATCCGCGAGCGGTCTTGGATCAAGCTATGCTAACACTGCGCAGATAGGAACAAATTCTGTGTTGAACGACAACAGACCACTACACCAGCAACAACCACCATCGGAATTCACGATTGATGATTTTCCAGCTTTACCTGGCGCATCAAATAGTGTAGCAAATCGTGGTGTTGTCGGTTCACAGCCAGTATCACATCATCTTGTCAATCATCAGCCAAATAGTATGGATGGGTTGAACAATGGGAATAATATTTCAACAGGCTTATCAGCATCCGGAATTCAAGAAAGTCGGATGAACGTCGGTATGTCTCAAAAAGTCATAATATAATTCAGGGATTCAATAATGTTACCCACGCATTTGATTTTTGGGCATTGGAAATTGTTCAGGAGCATTAGAATTAAGATTTTACTTCTTTAATGTGACACTCAGGCGGACTTAGGCCACCCCCACATCCTCCAATCAATTCTGTGTCCGAACAGGACAAAAAGGTGTGTTACTACACATAGATAAATAGCCTCGTATAATTTAATTCCATTTAAATATAAATTAATATATTATACTATTCAAATTCTCCTGAAAAATTGTGCTGTGGCCGCAATGTTTAAATTGAACCATATTAATCGGTCTTATTTTTTTTCAAACCGCTTTAGAACTACTCTGCAAAAGCTGGAGGTACTGTACAAATCTTACAATCCTCTTCGATGATACCGCACTCATTAACTGAGCCTTTCACTCCAACAACGCCATACTCAACATCATCATTATTGGGTATTCTACCATCATCAACAGTCATATCAAATTTACAATCATCCGTAGGTGGTCCTTCGTTAAATTCGTCATCTTCAACAGCTGGTCTAGCATCGGCTGATGGATTCGGATTACTTGGCCTGCTAAGTGTAATAAGAATGACTGATCCTGATTTAAGCATGTTAGCGTTAGGGAGTGATCTTACAACGCTGGGATTAAATTTAAACTCGCCAGAGTATGTATTAACTCGAAACAATCATTATATATATATTCGTTGATTTTGGAAAATGAAATACTGAGAATCAAAAAAGGAACTGGAAGATTTAGTGCAATTATCTTATTAATATATATTACCATTGTATTAACCATGTATATATATATATTTTTTTTTAAAAAAAAAATGAATTTGTAGTGCACTCTACGCAACATTCACTTCACCATGGTCAGAAAATAATCAGGCTGTTGGGTTAATTGAGCCTGAATACCATCTACCGTCATGTTATAATGTGCAACCACCACCACCAGCACAATCAAAAATAGGGTCATTTTCAGATGAAACGTTATTTTATATTTTTTATAGTATGCCCCGAGATATATTACAAGAAGCTGCTGCACAGGAATTGTGAGTTTACCATTAAATTATACTTTGGGGTACCAGATAGTTATATAAATAGATCTTTCTATTAGGCGGGATCTTTTTTAATGTTTTTTTTCACGTGAAACTTGATATTCACTATAGCTTTTGGTTTTTATACACAATTATCACTCTAATGCGGATTATGGTAGATATAACCGCAATTGGCGATATCATAAAGATCTTCGTCTCTGGTTAACAAAAGAGCAAGGAACGGAACCATTCACGAAAACTCAAGCTTTTGAACGCGGAAACTATATCTTTTTCGATCCAAGTACTTGGGAGAAGGTTAAAAAGGAATACATTCTTATGTACGAAGCCTTAGAGGAACGACCTACAATGCTAAGCGCCATGGGAGGATCGTCTTCGTCTTCAAGCCTTTCTTCACTAACGACACCAACTTTACAGCAAGCAGCAGTTCAACAAAATCTTGCAACAAATTCAATGAATATGGCAAATCTTATGAATTTAGGAAATTTATCTTCGTCAGTTGGTGGAGCGAGTGGTCTAAACCCAGGCTCTCTGGCCGGTTTGGGCGCCGCGAATCCTGCACAGCTGCAGCAACTACATCATCAATATCCTACGGGTGCGACAAATTCAGGTTCACATCATCAATTAGGTGGGCCCGGCCTTGTACAAGGTGGGCATTACATCGCACAGTGATAACTTTTAAGTGATAGTTAATATGTTAATGCACACAAAAAATTTAAAAAAATTTCTAAAAAAAGTTCAGAACAAATAACTTTATTTATTTACAATGACTTTACATAAATTTGCTATACCGGATCTGAACAGCATAGCGGGCTTTCATTGTGATTGCTAATTTTTGTAGATCACTTGTGATTTTGTGAAAGTTAATTGGTTAATAAAATTACACTAGAAAGCTCGAAATAAGATAATCATAATATATAATTATATATATATTTAATTTGTAATAAAATAAAATATTTTATGAATACATTTAATTAATATGAATGAATTAAATTAGAAGGTATAATTTTTGATTCTTTTTTTAACAATGCTGATTTTATGTTGTAAAGAAATTGATGACACCTTTTACCGAGAGGTGAAAATATTAGAGATATTGAAATTGAATTAAAGAATAAAATTGAATCGGATAAAGTTACTGTGGTCATCAAATGATCACTATTGCGCAGAAATTTTTTTAAATTGCTGACTAACCTAAATTAACAATATTAGGATTCGCCGTTGTGCACTAATTTTTCTATATTAATATATAATACGTATTTATTGGTATCTTTTAGTCAAACAATAAAAAATTTAAATTTTACTAAATACAGTATATACTGTATATAAATTATTTAACTCTTTGTAAATTCTTAAAACTAACTTTTTTCTACAGTATAATTAAATTAAATTTTTAAGCTAATCTTTCTATTTTAAATTAAACTTATTTTGTTTAAAATTTTGCTCTTAAGCAATATAAATTTAACTATATCTTTTACTTCTACAAAAAATTCTCTAAACTTTTACTAATTTTTCAAAATCTTATTAAATAATTTAACTTTAACTTTTATGCATATAATAACTTTGGGTAATTAGTTATACTACTTGATTTAACATATAAGAGTAAGGAAATATATTTATAAAAAGAATAAAACCAAAAAAAACTAAACTTAGTGAAAATAACTAAATACAAAATAAATTAAATTATAAAATATAATTAAAGTCCGGATTTACTTATTTTTGCAAGTGATACAAATTATGTGACAATAATAATAAATATTTATTTGTTGCTATTTTTGCTAATAATATGTAAAATTAGACTAGTATTAGGGTTAGGGTTAGAGCTATAATATATAAGGCAAACCATATAGTAAAATTTAGCTAAGAATTTTTTTAATTAGAATATAAAAATTATACAATAAACTCTTCGCGATGATCACTTGTACCAAAATTTTCCCACCAATGAAAGTCAAAAAATTGTTGGAAACAGGCAGAGATATGCAACTAGAGATTGGTTTTTATAAAGGTTAACTCTACTGCCATACAAGGAACTCCTTTATATATTTGGCACACAAGCCAAAAGTGTCACTATACAAGATAACTGGCAGAAAAAGATGCCCTTGTATAGGAAATTTTAGTAGAAATGCAAAGCAGTTTCTGTTGATGAAGTATCTCTAAGTGTTTAACAATAGAACAACAAATAAACTTTTCAACACACTCACTAGAAAATTTTAATGGTTATAATCTTGAAAACCTTCCACCATATTTTCACTTTTCTTGGAGTTTTTTTGGAAATACTTTTAACAAGCAAAAAGTAGAAAAATTGGCATATCCCCTCCAAAAGATCTGCATTGTTTACATGCTTTAGATCCTAGTTAAGAACTTCTAATTATAGCAGCAGGTGGCTTGAGATACGGGTCCTTGGACAGCAGCAGCATTTGGTTTGAGATACAAATTAGAAGATAAACAAAAGTCACAAAAAATTATGAGTTTGCTATATATAGAACGATAAATGGCATTGATACGAAGTAGAGAGTTTGCTTCTAGAAAATTTTCGCAGTGCTAATCTACCACAATGATTTTATATATAATACAGACTAAATTTAGAGTAGAACTAAATTAAAGAGTATTATATAATTTTTTAGGCCTTTTTTAGGCTATACTATTATTAGAATATTTTTTTTTTGCTTTTTTTTTATTTTTTCTTTTTCAAAATCTGTTGTTTTTTTTTTTGTTGTGTTTTTTTTGTTTTGCTTTGGTTGTTTTCATTATGTTTATTTTTAAATTTATCACCTTTTGTCTTGTGTCTCTTGAGAAGAAAAAAGAATTAGGAGAAAAATAATTGATCCTAATGTGGTAGCTAAGTACTGAGTTATAGTAGGTTTTTAAATGGAGGTAGCTATAGATGTCACTAAAATTGATTTTTGAAAAAGGCCTATTTTGTCTTTATTAGAGTAAATTAAAATTTTTTATAAGAAAGAGCATCTAAAATTTTATATTTATATTTTTTATAATTTTATCTATTCAAAAAAAGTGTCAAAAAATTTCGTCTTTTTAGTAAAATAGGTTCAAATTAATTTCGTCTTCAAATTTTAATTTTGGGTTTTAGAACTCAAAATAATTTTATCAGCATATATAGAGGTAGTACTTAATGTGAACTTACTGGCTAACATCAGTACAATAACCATACTTAAGCACTTTAAAAAGTAGCTGGGTATATTTCTAATATAATATTATAATAGCTTCCTAGCAAGAGTTTTATAATAAATTAATACATAGTTATTAAAATAAAAAAAAAATTAGAATATAAAAGGCAATTTCTTAAACAAAATTTTGTATTACTAGTGATTTTTTGAAAAAGTCATCAATTTTACATTATATAAAGGTTATATTTAATTTTGTAATCTATATAGATTTTTTTTTTAGTTTTAGGTTTATTTTGAGTTTGATTTAGCTTCAAACTAAACTTAAATTTAAACTTTACTAATATTTAAACTTAAACTAAACTCAAATTCTACTATAAGTTTGGTTTAAATTTAGTTTAAAAGTTTGCAAAAATTATAGTACTTTATAATTTTATTATAGTTGTCCCTCTATATAGTCACCTCCCATATAATCACATTATATGTAATCACATTTTTATTTAGACCAAACTATAATTTAATTTATAAGAAAAAAACCTCAATATAAGCACAACCTCTCTATAAGCACATTTTTTAAAAAAAGTTACTATGTGCCCAACTGTGTGATTGTATGGAAGAAAAAATATTATGATTCTCAAAATTTTATTAATTAATTTTAATTTTATATTTTAAATAAACTTGTTAGTACTCAAAAATATATTATATTAATATATTTTATATATTTTTTGTTTAATTGTTAGGATTTGCATCCAGAAAATATATACCAGATCATTAAAACAATATGAAATAGCAAAACAAACAAACTATATTGTATAAAATTTTAATTAAAACCAAATAAACAAAGCTGAAAAAAGATTAAGACATACTACTTTTTACCTCTAAAGTTTTCGAACCCTTTTTTGTTCCTTCAACACCACCTTCCTGCACCTAGATAAATCACTCAGAGTCTCTAACAGTATTAATAGCAGAACACAGACCAAAACACTTGACAACCCACCTTTGCTAAAAAAGACAAAAACAACTAATGAAAGTAGCTAAACTAAAGTGACCACTAGTGATTCTTTAAAAACTTCTTTTTACACTGCACCCAAAAAATTAAATAAAAAATTATTTCAAAGTAGGCAATCTAGCAAACCTCTGTTAAAAAATCAAATGACATTACCCGATCTAAACAAACAAACAAGTATGAGAAAAAACAAAAAAATTCTCACAGGCCAAACTAATAAGATAATCATTAATTCCCATTTAGCTAATTTCTTTTCTGATCTTGCTCGAAATAACTTCTAAAACCTAGAGCAACAACTACCAGCACCAACTGAAACAAACCAACTACTTTATCAAATCTTAATCCCGATAACAACATAGATACACAATCTAATACAATAGTTAAATTTCAAAAATCTGAAACAAGGTTCTATATCAAAGCACTCACCTTAAACATAAAAACACAGAATCCCAAATCAGACAAGTCACTTACTTGGGCTAATTCAGTGGCCAAGGCTCTTGCTAAAGGCCATAAAGTAAAATTCGATACCAATCTATGGAATATCAATACTATTATCAATGCCTTTACTTCCTTTGAACTTTTGCAAACATTTTTCAAACACAAAATTCAAGCTAAGTCAACTAAGCAAAAAATTCCCCAAGCAATTTGTGAAAAATTTAACTAACTCAACTTTGCTTTCTTTTATCTTTCACAAAAAATAAGAAAACCCAACCCCAATACCAAAAGGAGTTCAACTTACTCTTACAAATAGTAATAGAAAAGTACAAAAAACTACACAATATCTAGTTTATAAATAAATTTAACAGAGACCAAGTTTTTAAGAAGCTTAAAACCAAACTTGCAATAGATTATATTTGCAATATAGACTTCTTGTTAATCAGCTCTTACAACTGCACTCACCTTATCTCTTATTGCCTCAATATTGCCCAAATTATCTGCTCAATTAAGTTTGAAGATACAGTATAAAAAACTTATTTAACAAAGCATATACTTTACTTCTTACCCTATTACCTGATAAGGGAGCTTCCAGAAATCAGCTGATTTATCTTTACTAATAGGCTACCCCCACTCACCCACACCTGACACCCCTATTAGCCAATCAAATTTTATATTTATTTAAATTTTTGGTAATAAAACATAGTAAAATTTTCAAATTTGGAGTTTATTAATTAAAATTTTTTCTTTATTAAGTAAATCTTTTTCAACTTCTAATAAAGGTTGTAGAGGAGTATATTGTGATCAAAATGGCAGTTAAAATTTTAAACTCGGCCCAGTAGATTATGAGATATAAGTATTTTTGTCTTCATGATTATATGTTTTCTTTTTTATATAAATAAAGGAGAAAGCATATAGTCGTGAAGACTAAAATGCTTATATATCGCGATCTAATGAGCCAATTTTAATGTTTTAACCACCATTTTGATCGCAAGACAATATTCTACAACTTTGATTATAAGCTAAAAAGAGATTT